CACCCAAAAAGACCCCAGACACTCTAGTATCTTTGTCAGTTTTGACCACTCAAAGTCCTTTTACCAGCATTTTGCATTGCATATACCAATGACTCTAAAATGCCCTGGAGTAAAGGGTGAATTTTCTTATGCCTACTTCAGCAGAAGAGTTTCAACTGTGGTGTGGAGAAGACTCTTGAGAGTCCCTTGGACTGCAAGGAGATCCAACCAGTCCATCCTAAAGGCGATCAGTCCTGGGTGTTCATTGGAAGGACTGATGCTGAAGCTGAAACTCCAATACTTTGGCCACCTCATGCGAAGAGTTGACTCATTGGAAAAGATCCTGATGCTGGGAGGGATAGGGGGCAGGAGGGAAAGGGGACGACAGAGGATGAGATGGCTGAATGGCATCACCAACTCGATGGACATGAGTTTGAGTAAACTCCGGGAGTTGGTGATGGACAGGGAGGCCTGGTGTGCTGCGATTCATGGGGTTGCAAAGAGTCAGACATGACTGAGCGACTGAACTGACTGACTGACTGATTATGAGTAATATGCTTTAGCATATGAAGATAATAACCCTTCCCATCATCAGTGGGACAAGATTCTTGTGTTGTCTTTTTAGTTTTGGTAACATAATGTCATGTTCTATTTTCTGGTCATCTGTCTTCTACCCCATCTTTGAAATGAGACCCCCTGGGTCAGGAAGATCCCCAGGAGAAGGGAATGGCAACCCACTCCAGTATTCTTGCCTGGAGAATCCCATGGACAGAGGAGCCTGGAGAGCTATAGTCCATGGGGTCGCAAAGAGTCAGATATGACTGAGTAATTGACACTAAGTGAGTGTTGTCTTGGTTAGGGTAGGTAAATAAATGAAAATTAAACATTTTGAGCATCTTCTGTGAGCCCTGAAAAGGGCTCTTTACAATTTCTATCTTACATTGTATTCACCAGAGCACTGCGAAATATCAGTATTCCCATTTACATATGAAGAAACTGAGGCTCAGAGATGTGGCATAACTTGTGCAATATTACGTAGTTTTTCCTTTGAACCCGTGCATGCCTGATTCCAGAGTCTGTCCCTATTCTTCTCCATCCCTCTGCCTCTTGGGTTGCAGGTGGTTAACCCAATGCCTTGGGTTCATGGGCACTGAACTGGCAGGGGATGCAAGGTGTGTGTGGATTGGGACAGTAAAGATGAAAAAGTGTATTTCTGGCACTAGTTGTGGGAGTATTTCCCCTGTTCTTAAAACTATATGTAATTAATCAGCAATTACGTCAAATATTCTCTATATGTGTGTTTAATCATCCCACAAAATATAACCCTTATGAAAATACATACAATAAGGGGAAAAACATTCTAGCTGTGAAGGAAAGCATGTTTAATTCCACAAAATAATGTTTAATAGTAGTTATCATCACTGTGGTTATAGTTAGGGTAGTTTTGTTGTTGTTCAGTCGTTAAGTCATGTCCAACTTTTTGCAACCCAGGTAGTTTTAGACTTTGTCTATTTTATGTCCTAAACTGAAAGTCCTTAAAGGTGGTTTGAAAAAATATGAGCAAATTTCCTTTTCTAGCTTCATGTCCCATGAAAGGACTCGTCAGGTGCAGTTCTTCTGCAGATACTCAGGTCACAGAGCAAGGGGTAATGACTCTTGTGTGTGAAGTCTGCAGCTGGAAATCATGCTTTGGCAAGAACATGAGTAATTTATCTTTTGTAAAAAGAGAAAAGTGTTGTCTTATTCCAACCGGATAGTTTGTTAGCATAACTGTTTGTGTGCATTTTGATATTCAAATACAGATGTTCCAAAATGTTTCCACTGTGGGAAGCAGCTGCCGCTATTCTAGCACAGAAATCTCAATGAGATTAATATACAAAGGCAGTGTGAACCTTAGTGGCAAGTACAGCATCTGCTTGATGTGGGGCTTGTGAGTCCCCTAGATAGTGGGTCTTCATATTCTCGTTAACAGCCTGAAACTATTGTTTCAGATCTAAGCTTGTTCTGAAGGAACAGGAACAATGATAAATGATTAATTTGTAATTCACTTAGCTGATAAATATCATCACATGTTATTTACCCAGCGGCTGTAAAACACTGGCCTTCATTTCCAGTGGCAACTGATAGGAATATAGATGTTTGGTCACAATGACTGATGTTTTCAGTGCTGTTACTAGCTTCTGCTCTGGTAGCAGAGCTCAGCCCTGCCAGCTTGCAGTCATAAAACATCCATCCACACCTTAGTGATGTGTTTACGGAGAACTTCACAGTTTAATCAGGACACTTGCATGTACTGCTTCATCTGATCCCATCTTAACCCTGAGAAGTACACATGCTGTCATTATCAGAACAGTTTACATACAAAGAAAACACAGGTGAAGAAGTTGAATGACTTACCAGGGTGACAGACAGGGCCTCTGACTCTAAATCCTGTTCCATTCCTATACTACATCAAGCAGCCTTTCTCATTTCGGAGGCTGTGATGTGTGCTTCACAGACTATATTGTCCTGTCTGGAGCTGCCGGTTTCCAGGACACCCTCGTGAGGAGTCGCAGCCTGATGGTGCTGCCTGCGACTGGCAGGTGCCAGGGAAGAGCTAATGCAGTCACTCTTCCCTCTTTCCCTCACACCCCAGAAGGGAAACGCCCCAGTACTCCCTTTCCTTATGTTCAGGAGAGCTTGAGCAAATGAGCCCAAGTCTCTCTCTCTGAGCTCTGTCTCTCTGGCATTTACAGAAATGAAGAACCAGAAGCAGAAGATCCCTGGGCTGTCATTTGGAGTTGCCATAAACCAGAAGTTTCTAAGAACAGTGACGCCTGGGGTGCTGTGCCTGCCCCAGGCCTTATAAATCTATTCCCTGCAGTGTTCAAGGGCTCATTGCCTCCAACCAGACCTACTGTTTGGAATTATCTAGTGAATTATTTATGGTTTATACATTTGACAGAGGCTCATGGCTAAGTTTGAAAACACTCAGTTCCTGGCTTACTGCTGGGTCCTAGAAACATCTGTCTGGAAAACTGAGGCTCAGAAAAGTGAAGTTTCTAAAGATCCCAGAACTAGGAAACAGCAGTACAGTTTTGAACCACGTGCATCTGATTCCAAGTTACACTAGCTCCAGAGTGAAAGAGCCATGTGTTTTACTTTGAGAGCAACAAAGATTTGCAGATGGGAGGGTCTGTGGACTGTGTTCTCTCTAGCCCCACTTGGGCACAGAAGGACCCCTGAGAGTAAGGAGGGGAGGGCCAGTTACAGAAGGAAAAGAGAGAGACTGAGCCCCTGGGCCTGTGGCAAGGAGGATAGAAGCTCATTGCGCATGAGGTGGGGAGTTGTGAGCAGTAGAAAGGCCCGTGTGCAATGTGCTGACATGAAGTCTTAACCTCTGATCCCAAAGAGGTTCCCAAAGTAGGAACCAGAGGCCAGTTCACGTCCAAGTGGCATGCTCTTGGATGACATCATTGCTGCTTCTGCCAGAATCACATTGCTGCAGGATTGTGATGTTCACTGAATTGTTTCTGCTCTCTACCACTCAGAAAAAAAAAAAGTACATTTCTAAGTGTTTATTTCCTCTCTGTTTTCCTCAGTCTTTTTGTTGGACCATCTGTGAAATGATAAAAGCAGCTTAAAGCTGTATGGAACCTTTGGCAAATATACAATTTGCAAGCATCATGAAGATAGGTCAGTCTCAAGTCTTTATTTCAGAGGCAAAGAAATAAGGTAGCAGATCACTCACAGCTATAAAATATTAGTAAATGTGTTCTGAAGCACACAGATGTGGAACACATCTGATAAAACAGTGCCCTCACTCCAAGGTGGGATGGCCTTCCCTAGCCTGGGGGCCCACGTGAAGATTGCTTGCCCATTTGTGACAGAGTTTGTTTTACCATTTGTTCTGCCAGGATCACATGTTCATGGTAGAGGGAGGGAGCATCCCAAAGAAAGGGGGCTACATGGCTCCAGCTGTAGGTTTGGTAAAAGGGAGGGGAGGACAGGCAAGTTGCTGAATGAAAAGAAGGGCAGGAAACATGCACTGTAACTTCCTTTTATGTCTCTGCAAAGGAGTTAGAATAGAGGTGAGAATCTAAGACTGTCTGCACTTAGTAAGATTCTAGAACCCATGTAACATCTCCTTAGTTATATTTGTTTCCCTTTGGTTCACTATACCAATTAAGAGGCATTTTCATTAAAACCCTTAAGACAAAAAAGAGGTCATGTTCTTTTCTTTAGACAAGAACTGCTCGAGTGGCAAGCAGTGTGAGGCGACTGGGAAGATAGCATCTTTCTGCAAAGAGGCTGAGGCCAAAAGAGGCTAGAGATGAGAACAGCAGAGTGCAAAGCACTAAAGGGGTGGGGTCCCGTGGGGACCACCCCATTCAGAGATGTAGTTGTAACTCTGTCGTTTTCCTCTGGTTCTCATCTCATCTAAGCCCTCCACCATAGCCAGCACTGATGAAGTCGCACTGAGGGGGCAAAGATAAGAGGACAGGACCCTCCAGTGGGTCCTGGGTCACAGAATTATCAGCCATCATTCTTGATATCTCCCTTGCTGCTAGTGTATCCATCGCTTTGGGAGAAGACAAGAATTGAGAAATGCCCAGGAGTGCAAAGAGCCGTGCATGGAGTTTCCTATGAATGTCCTGTGTTATATTACATGTAATAATTAATTTTGATTTTCTTCAACATTTTCTTCTAACTGCAGAGGTTAATAGCTATTAACAGAGATATAATATCACAATATTAAAAATGTCAGGTCTTTAAGATGAAGGTTATATGACACACAACCTGTTTCTGTGAGATTCGGTATTGGAAGTTACTGATTGAATTGCCATTGTCAGTTATTAGGAACTTGCTGAGTGGAAGCACTGTTTTTCAGTTCTGCATAGGTCTGCAGACCTCTGATAGAGACACTACTGGAAATTGTATTGGATGGTTACAGGCAAACTCTCAAACATTTTATTTGCTGAAACAAACCAAAGCCATTTTCTGACATGCTTTCTTTTCTCTTCCTTATCCTTTCTCTCCAGGCAGCTTCATCAGCCCTGAGCAGTCTGGGTCACGTGTACACAGCCATTGGAGATTACCCCAATGCACTGGCCAGTCACAAACAGTGTGTTCTTCTTGCCAAGCAATCCAAAGATGAGCTTTCTGAAGCCCGAGAACTCGGCAACATGGGAGCTGTGTATATTGCCATGGGTGACTTTGAGAATGCTGTGCAGTGCCATGAGCAGCATCTGAAGATAGCCAAGGACCTGGGGAACAAGCGAGAAGAGGCCCGGGCCTACAGCAATCTGGGCAGTGCCTATCACTACAGGAGGAACTTTGACAAGGCCATGTCTTACCACAACTACGTGCTGGAGCTGGCGCAGGAGCTGATGGAGAAGGCCATTGAGATGCGGGCCTATGCTGGCCTGGGCCACGCTGCCAGGTGCATGCAGGATTTGGAGAGGGCTAAACAGTATCACGAGCAGCAGCTGGGCATCGCTGAGGATCTCAAGGACCGGGCTGCAGAGGGGCGTGCGTCCTCCAACCTGGGTAAGGACAGGCTTTCTTGCGGCACTGGGGTCAGGGCCACAGACTGGGAATTGCTGGAGTGACCCGCTGTCTTTGACAGCAATCTGTGTGTTTATATTCAGTAGTCCTCATTGCTTGTGTTACATTTTTCCTTCAGCTATGTTTCCTTGAAGCCTGCCTGCTCTAAGTCACAGGATCCTTTCTGTCATCCCAGCGCTGTGAGCATTAGAATGCTGAAATACTGGAAAAGCAAAACACCCCAACCTTTTAATCTGTCTAGAGAGAAGAGTGAGCAGATTTATCTAATTAGAGAGAAGGGGAATGAAATGCAGATGCAAAGCTATGTTTGGTTTAAATGAAAGGGAAACTGCTAGGAAGTCATTAATGGGAGGGAATTTGAGAGGATTTTTGTTTAGAAAGATTTCTTTACTTGGTGACTTTAACACAAAGGAAATGTATTTTTTCCTCTCAATGTATGTATATTCACAAATGATATTGATAGTATTAGTGTAAATGTACAAATTTTTTCTTTGGAAAAATTTAAGTAAGAAATTTGCAGTGTGTTTTGCTACACACACTGGGTTGGGCACGATGTTTGTTTGGGCTTTTCTATAACATCTTATGAATGAATTTTTTGGCCTCTCCATATTTGGTTACAGTTAAGACCTTTATATATTTGGATGAATTTATAAGGAATGGTAAGAGGTGGTGAGTATTAGTATCTGGCTACTTCTTAGAGGATATTGGTAGCTTTTCTCTGTACCCAAGCAGATGTGGGTACATAATGAACCAAGAGAACAGATGTGTTCAGAGGTATAAGCTGAAGTCATCCCTGAGCCTGGAGCCTATGGTTCGTGCCACAGGAACTCAGGGTGGGGAGAGGACAGGGAGACAGTGAACTTGTTGGTACCAGTGTATGCTTAGCAGATAGCGGCAATGCAGGGTAAAACTCAGTCCCCTTTCCTTATGTGACCTACAAAACCCTGCTTCTCTTCATAGAACTTTGGCACTGCTTCTTCCTCCCCTCTGCCTCCACTTACTGCAACCATACGTTTCAGTAATATATATGGTTGTTAGAATAAGTCTAACAAATCCCTGAAGATGACACTGAAGATGAGATCAGAATGAGAACCTGGAGAGTCTGATAAAAACCGTAGAAATAAGTTCTTGGTATTATATATTCATTCAATTCATTCAACAAATTTCAATTATTTATTGAATCATTACTGTGTGCTGAATCCTGGAATAATTGCCTTAAGTGATAGAGAAGTTTGAAAAAAAAGCCTTGCCCTCAAATAACTTATAATTTAGTTGGTAAAATAAGACTAATACATAGGGCAGCAGCAGACTCCCTACAAAGCAGAGTTAATGATGTTGTGTTGCCATGAAATTCCCAGAAGGGAATCCCTGAGGAGTGGGAATAGTCTGGAAGGCTTCTTGGAGGGCATGACACCAAGGTGAACCTTGAAGAATAGCTGAGATTTGGCCAGAAATGGGATGGCATTGATGGCAAGGGGTATGTGATACAAGGAATTTGATACAATAGGTGGGCCTATCTGAGGGATGGTGGCATGATTAGCCTTCAGGAATGTGCTAGAGGATGGTAAAAGATTATAAGATTATTATGAAAAGTAGGCAAGGAGCTGCTAGCGAACAGGAACTCCTGAAGATTTTGAAATGTAGGAGGGAGAACACTGACTAGTTGTTTAAAGAAGACAAGTTGAGCAGTGGCATTAGGAGAGGTTGGAGGGCTTGGAACCTGGAGTGCAGAAGTCTGTGCCTGTTGTACAGTTCATCTTATGTCAGAAATCTATCGTTTTGATTAGTTGTATTTTCCAAAGACTTCGTTCATCTAAATTGTTGGATGGATTGGCATAAAGTTGTCTGTAATACTTCTGTATTTTCCTTTTAATGCTAGTAGGATATGCCCTGTTTCATTTCTGTTATTGGTAGTTTGTGTTCTGTACCTGTACAACAACCCCGTCACCCTTTCTAGATTATTCTAACTAGAGATTTATCAATTTTCTTGATCTTTTTAAAGAACCAACTTTTGTTGGTGTTAATTTTGTTTCTATTGCTCGTCTTATTTTTTAATTTCATTTTTCTGGTCTCATTTTTAGTATTTTCTTTCCGTCACTTTCTTTGGGTCCTCTTCCTAGCCTCTTAAGGTTGAAATTTAGGTCATTGATTTTAGACCTTTCTTATTTCTTTTTTTTTTCCTTTCTTATTTCTAATACAAGAATTAAAAAATATAAAATTTCTTCTTATCACTGATTTAGCTGCATCCAATAATTTTTGATATGTTTTTGCTTTCATTGGGTTTAAATTATTTTCCAAAATATTTTGTGATTTCCCTCTAAACCCTGTGTTGTTTGGAAGTGCTGTTTAAAACATTTGGGATTTTCCTAGATACTTTATTGTTATCAAATTCTAGTTTAATTCCATTGTAGTCAGAGAACATACTTTGTAGTATTGCAATAGGTGTCTCTGCAGGTGCTGTTTTGGTCAAGGTATTGATGGTTATATATTGTTAGCATCCACTGTCTGGCATGGCCAATGCCCTCAGGTAAACAAAGACTCTTAGACTGGGCAGTCTAAGAGGCTTATAGAGTGCCTCTGAGAGCCAAGGGTAAAGGCTGGACCTCTCTGGGCAAGGTTAATTCTTTATTGAGTAAGTGCGTATTAAAATTTAGATATAATATTTTTTAGCTCTAAAATTTCCGTTTGGTTCATTTAATTAACAGTTCAGTTTTCTGAAGATTTATGTGTTTATTCATTACATGTATATTTTCCTTCTCATAGGCAGCCCTAGTTATTACAAAAGCTTATAAAATCTCATCTTCTAGTTCCATGTGGGTCATCTCAGAGTTACACCCTTTTGATTGCCTGTTGTTGTCATTATTTTTTAGTAGCTTGATTGAGGTGTAATTCACACAGCATACTATTTATCCCTTTAAGGTGTGTGATTCAGTGGTTTGTAGTGTAGTCACGGAGTTGTGCATCGATTGCCTTTTGTTTCGAGTTGTTAGTCACATTTTAGTGTACTTTTTGATATGAATTATATCCAACATTGTCAGTGATATTTTAGAAACACTCTGGATTCTGATATATTTTTCTTAACAGTATTGACATTTGTTGTTGTTTTACCAGTTAACTTAGTTCAAACTCCAGATTCTGTCTTCCCTGTGATTTCAGGCAGCTGAAATCTCTGTTCAGTCTTTCAGCTTTCATGGAGCTGCTTAGATCCCAGGTGCTCAGGCAGTAAAGAATCTACCTGTAATGCAGGAGACCTGGGTTTGATCCCTGGGTTGGGAAGATCCCCTGAGAAGGGAATGGCAACCCACTCCAGTAATCTTGCCTGGAGAATCCCATGGACAGAGAAGTCTGGCAGGCCCCAGTCCATAGGGGTCACAAAGAGTCGGACATGACTGAGTGACTAACACACACACACATGTGTATTTCATGAGTTAAACAGAGATTTGTGTAGAATTTATACTCAGAATTCAAGGCTCCCCACTGTGACTCTCTCTGGGATTTTGCCTTTGTGTTTTCAAACCAGAAAGATGGTGTATATATACTTGAGTTTTAGCCTCACCGCATAGCTCTGATGGGGTTTGCCGTCAGGTCCCTGCCACCACAAAATGCCCTGTGGCATTTCAAAAATGGGAAGCTGACCTAATGCCCTTCCCTTCCGCAGAGAGTCAACTCCAACCTTGCTCACAGTCTCTCATCGCTTTTGGTTGCCCTCCAGTGTTTCTGGGTAAGTTCCTTCCCTCTCCACACCTGCCCCCTGCCCCCTGTCAGACTCCGTTATCTGTCTGGGTGTGTCTGAGAGCAGCTGCTCCTCCATTACTGGAAGTGGAGCTCCTTCTATCTGTTTTGTTATTGTTCAGTCGCTCAGTCATGTCTGACTCTTTGCGACCCCATGGACAGCAGCACACTAGGCTTCCATGTCCTTCATTATCCCAGAGTTTGCTGAAACCTAAATCCATTGAGTCAGTGATGCCATCTAATCATCTTATCCTCTGTCATCCCCTTCTCCTCCTGCCCTCAATTTTTCCCAGCGTCAGGGTCTTTTCCAATGAATTGGCTCTTCCCATCAGGTGGCCAAAGTATTGGAGCTTCAGCATCAGTGATTCCAGTGAATATTCAGGGTTGATTTCCTCTAGGATAGACTCATTTTTGGTGGCAGTTTAGTCGCTAAAGTCATGTCCGACTCTTGTGACTCCACGAACTGTAGCCTGCCAGACTCCTAACCCAGTACAATTTGATATGTACCTTTTGTACCCTGAAAAAGATCAACAGTAATTTCCTGATGGCTCAGTTTAGAGATCTCTTGATCTCACCTCTAAATTTGCCTAATCAGTATACAACATTTGGCAGGCTTTACTCTTCCGTAAAATTCTCTCCTCCTCCAGTTTCTGGGAAGCACCACTGTCCTGTTTTCTTCTTGGCTGCTCTTTCTGTACCATCTTCATCGGCTTTTCTTTAAGGGGGGGAAAAAAAGCAATTTTAAAAGTTACAAAAGTGGTACTTACTTTTGTTAAAAATGCTTATGCTATGAAAGGGTATAAAGTAGAAAAAGGAGGTGCACCCCGTTACATTCTTTCTTCTGTCCCACTCTTCAGAGTTAACTACTGTGAGCAATTTGGTTAGACTCCTTCCAGACCTTTTTATTATGCACATAAACACATGGTAGTACAATAATATACTTAAATATACACACGTGTGTACAGGTTGTTCCTTTTTAAAAAACTTGGATCAAAATGTATATCTTTTTTTGCCACCTGCTTTTTTTTAGCCCACTTTCCCTCTTGGGCTTCCCTCTGTGTCATTATTCAGATTCCCTACTTTATTTTTAATGGCCCTTTTCCATTGTATTGCCATGTGTTAAATGTGGGAGTTCTTGTATTTTTGTTCCTGATTCTTTCCCCTTCTTTCTTTGTATCTGGCTCTTTATCACTTACACCACCATACCTTCAGCTGCTGCTTCAGCGTACATTGTTTCTAAACTTGTTTTC